AGAGGGAAGCAGGGGGGTCCCAGCTCACTCGGCTCAGGGGAGGGGGCAGCGGGGCGTGGGAGCGATTTCCCCGGCCTGGGCCATCTTCCCTACTTGACTGGGAGAAAAGGCTCAGCCACTCCCGCTCCTTTGATGCCACTGCTTGGCTGTGGGGAGCGGCGGCCCTTAAAGGGGCAGCGGCCAATAGTCTCAACGCTGGGCGTCAGAAGGGGAATTGGAGAGTGAAAAAGGAAACGAAATGAATGCCTGACTTTTCCTTTAACCAAATCTGAAATACGGTGGCCCTGACTTCTCTGCTATGATGTGTCCACTCCTGCCATGACCAGCTTCACACACTCAGCACAGCTTTGGTCTGAACTGATTTCCTGGCCTCCCCGCTTACTCGCTTAAGGTATCAGAGGAAAAGGTAACCCTTTTCAACTACAGGAGCCCCTCAGCTACTTGGGCGCCCTCCACTAAGATATTTTAAGTAATAGAGGGAAGCCAGTATCCTCTCTTGGGAGGATACTGTATCCTCCCAAGTATCCTCTCCTCTCCCAAGACCTCGTTCCAATGAGATTTGTCCCCTTTCCCTTCTATTTAACTTACACCCCCATGCCCTACTCTCCTACCCCCCACCTCACATCCCCCAGTTTTCTCGTCTGGCTTCTTTTTCCAGCTACTGGGGAAATTTGCTGCTTTTTTTTTTTTTTTTTTCAGGAGTCTTTGTCATTGCTTGCTCCTTTGAATTTCAATTTGGCCTATTGTAGCGTGGACTGATGAGAGTTTCAATTTCTCTGTCTTCCCCATTCCACATTGCCCCTTGCACACACCTTTCCACCTTGAAATTTTCTAGACGAGCCCCTTTTCTTAAAATTCTTCTATTCTAAATATATGTTAAAATGAATGAATGAGTTTGAGGTTGAGGCTTGTCTACCATCACCCCTAACAATCCTCAAATCTTTCATCATTGCCCTCCCAATGGGAAAATGTTCACTTTATTTCCTTGAAGATTTTATTCATGAACTTTTAGAACTTAGAAGACATCGAATTGAGGAATTCACACATTGCTTCTTCGAGTGTGTGAATTTTAATGCGTCTGGAAGTCTCTTGTAAAGTCTCATTAGAGTTTCCTTTCATGTAAAGAAGCCCAGGGGCTTCTTCCCCTTTCCTCTCCCTCATCAAAACTTACTGGCTGGTTCTGACAGCCAGACTCTCCCAATCTCAAATTAGTGTGGGAAGGTGAGGCTGGAAAATAAGTCCCTGTGTTCAAGTTCAGGGTCAGGAAGATATGATACCTTTATTAAGTCTTATCAGAACCTGATTTTTGAGTTATCTTGCTTCTTCCCCTGAAACAATGAGTCAAAAAGGGGAAAATTATCATGGAAAATGCCTCCAGGGCCATGCCCTAGCCTGTCTCTTTTGAACAGTTCTATATTTCAAAAGAACGTTGTATAGTCACTGGTCTAAGCAATCCCTCTGGGAGGCTGAGCCAGGGGTTGGGAGTTAGAAAGATTGGAGGGGAAGTGAGAACCTAAAATTATCCCTGAGGAAAAAGAACCAATTTTGCCTCCCAGGGACCCAGCAGCTCACCCATGAGCAGTCCTTGTGAGTGGCTCCCAAGCAAATGCCTTCCAAGCCCATGCAGTACCTCAAGCAGGCCTTGGGACCCACAGAAATGCCTAGCTGGTGGAGGCAGAATGGCCTAGGCTCAGCCCCTGCCCTGGGTCATGCCCGTGTGGTGCAGGTCCCACTTGGCCTGAGTTTTGAGTGTGGCCTATTGCTGATCTTCAAGGAGGTCACTACCAAGTCGGTTTTGCAACACCCCAGAGTGTTGCCAGTTATCTCAAAGGGGTGTCATAAGATTCTTAAAGAGTAATCTCTACAACAAACACATGCCATTCAGCAAGGGAAAGTAAGGGAAAGGGGCGCCAGGAAGGCAAGCAACTTCAAAGGATGTCGTTGCTTTAGGGGGTGACCTCGTTATTCTGAGAAAGTGTGTAAAAATGTTTACATATTCAAAAAAGACAAGATTTCCGAAACCACATGAGTTTGCCCAAGTTTGGGGAAAGATAACCAAAGGAGACTGTGAGAAGAGGAATTCAAGGCCACTGTTAGTGGAGACTTTTATGAGCCAGCAGAGCAATGCTGAAGCACCTGTCACACTCTTCCTCCTCTGCCTGGGGATGTTGGAGGGTGGAGCCTATTTCTTCTCCTTCTCCATTCTCAGCCTGGCCTTTCCCCCAGCCCATGCTGCTGACAGGAAGAAAGGCTTCTCTTTTTGCCCCTTTGGTCTGTTTTTCAAATTTAATCTTTTGAATAGGTAATTCATTCCCATTATTCAACCATCAAACTATACAAAATGCATGCAATAGAAAGTTGCTGGCTGTTATCTAACGGTGTCTTGTTTATTCTTCCAGTAATCTTTTATATATAAACAAGTCAATACAAATACATATGCCTTTGTCCTTTCTTTTCTACACAAATAATAGTAAAATATACCCGTTTCTCTGTACCTTGCTTGTTTTACCTTACCAGTGTATATCTGCGACCCGTTCATATCAATACGCAAAAGCATCCCGATTTTAGTATGCCATTATATGAATATACCATAATCTATGAAAATAATTGGCTACTAAGGGACATCTAATTTACTCCAAATTTTTATTTATAGATGATGTTGTAGTGAATAACTTGTTCACATATCATTTCACATGTGTGTAATATATATTTGTATAATAAATTTCTACAAATAGAATCACTGTATCACTTTTGCAAATTTAAAAATATTGTTAAATACCTTCCCCAGGCAATATGCCCATATACACTCTTCCCATAAGGAGTTGGAGGCGAGTGACCTGCTGCTCTGGGAAGTCATCCTAATTACTGATCCCAGAGGAATAGTGCTGCCTGGTCTGTAGAGGTCATCCAACTCTGGATAGAAGTACAGGTTGCCCAGAGAGAGTTTTGCCCTGGCTCTGCGTCCCCAGATGACCTTTGTTCTGTGCCCTTGGAAACAGACAGTGAATACAGGCCTCTGAAATACTGAGTTCAGGCTCTCAGGTTGCTGTTTATGTACTGAGGGCTCCAAAAATGCAAGTTATCCTGTTGCATCAGGCGGCCGTTTTGAAATGGTCTATGATTTAGAATATGTGGTCAACAGAGCCAGAAGAGGCAGCAGCCTCCTGATGGGCAGAAGTTCTAATAGCCAGGGGAGTTGTAACTTGTGGTTGGTCCCATGCACTTCACAATTGAGTGTGTGGGTGTGGGTGCATCTGTGTGTGTGTTTATGTGACAAGGTAGGAAGAAGGACAGGGGAGTTCAGGAGACACAGCCTTATATCTCGTCCAAGATGACATGCGTTAGAGGTATTATAGTCTACGACTCATAATCTTCCTCTCTGGCTTTAAAGTTCTTGGAAGGGAGCAAAAACTAGGTGGAAGTTTTCTCCCTCCTTCTCTTTACCCTGTTTTTCTTCTCCATAGCTTACTGTGACTCTCCATTCAGTTTTTGAAGTGCAGAGTGTATGTGGCCTCTAAACAGTTGGTTTGATGTTTGGCGTTACTCCTTCTGTCACAATTAGTTCAGAGGAGTAGGATGGTGGCGGCATAGAATAAGAGCTAAAAGGGTCTTAAAGATCAAATCCAACACTAACATTTTACGGAATTAAAAAGCTGAGGCCCAGAGAGGAAACTGAGATTTGGCCACAACCACACAGGACATCCGAGTAGCTGGCTCCTTTTCTAGAATACCTCCCCTCACTCTCAACCAGACTGTGGCCGGTGCCCACTTCCTGTCTGTCCTCTAGAAGAGCATTCTCCAACCCCTTTGGCACAAGGGACTGGTGCTCCTGTAAGAATCTAATGCCTGATGATCTGAGGTGGAGCTGAGGCAGTGATGCTAGTGCTGGGGAGTGGCTGCAAATACAAATAAAGCTTCTCACTCACCAGGCGCTCACCTCTTGCAGTGCAGCCTAGTTCCTTATAGGCCAGGGATGTGTACCACTCTGAGGCCTAGGGGTTGGGGACCCCTGCTCTAGGAGATCCCAGAATGGACCACCCCCTCCCTCCAGAACTTCAAAGACGCTCTCAACCTAAGACTTGTCTTCTGTGATGTAGCATGGCCAAGTCTCCACACATCTGATGTTTCCCAGGGAAAAGAGCTTGAAGGGGAAGCAAAGAAGGGACTCCATTCACGGGAAACAAATGGTCCTCTGATACTTAAGGGCTGGCCTGGGACAAGAGCCTTTATAGGGGTGGAGAAAGGGCTGTCCACCCAGTCATCAATAGAAGAAGGGACCGGGAAATGTTTCTTTCACTCCTGAAGAAGGAAAAGAAATCCTTGTTCTAGTTTCCTTGAATAGTCATTAAAATCTTTGACTATTGGAGAAGTTGCTCTCAGGGGTAGAGGAGAAATCAAACCAGTGAGGGAGGGAGAGAGCAAAGAGGGTGCCCGCCAATCTGCAAATAAGCGTCTCTCATCCCCTTCTGAGTCACCCCAGGATGCTGCTATAGTTGATTTCTTTGCAGCCCCTTTGTCAATTGGGAGAAGGAGGCAGCGTGGAAGAGGTAGATCTGCCATGCTGCTTGGATCCATGGGCTTTTCCCCTGATCTTCCTCCATAGTCTCAAACGAGTCCGGAGCTTGTCTGACTCAAAAAAAGGCCGGTGCTCACACTGAACACGCTCCGGCCCCTTCTCTCACATCGACCCACGTCTTCCCCCTGGGAAGCAGGTGCTGAGGAAAGGGTGGCTGCACTCGGAAGGAAAGAAAGCAAAACAATGAGGATGGTTTCTCCTCTAGCAGCAAAGCTAATGCTTCGTGTGATTAGGTCCCTCCAATTAAGGCAGGAGTGAGGAGCTTTTGTGACTGGAGAGAGGAAGGAAGTTGACACTTTTGGATGGTCGAAAGCCTATCAGGAAATAAGGGGGTGGTCAAGGTCCAGATGCCAGTGGAGAGATTGTGGCAGGGGGAAAAAGGAAGAGTTTCCTGTTTATAAAAACAAGTTGTGGATAGGAAAAATGCCACTTGTTGTTGTTGTTGTTGTTGTTGTTGTTGTTGTTTATCTCAAGAGTGGATAGGAAAAATGCCACTTGTTGTTGTTGTTGTTATTTATCTCAAGAAGAGACAAAGCATTTGCTTCTAGTCAGGAGAGGACTGTCTTCTCCTTTCATGATAAGTGGGAAGCAGGAGGAAGAGGAGGAGACACCCTCAGGCCTGCCATTCAGCTGGAGCCACCACAGGAGAACCCTGCTGTTGGGGTTCCAGCCTCTCAGTCACCACTGGGCACACTTTTCTCCATGCCAGTCACCACATTAAGCATGCTGGTGGAGAGGTGGCTAGGACCCAGACCCTACTCCTAGGTAGGGGGCTCCCAGCCCCATAGAGGGGGTAAGTTTCACTTTGTTCCCTTAAAGCCTCCTGCCAGTGCTGTGGTGGGTGGCTTTGGGTAGAAACACTGGATAGGACAGCTTTATCCCATAATGGAGATGGGAAAGGAAGCAAGGAAGGGTATCTCTTAGGGACACTAAGGTGACGTCTTTGAGGAGAGCAATGCCACACCTTTTACCCAGCCCCCAGGAACGGACAGGCTTTTTCCCACTACTAGTAAGATAGTTGCAATTTAACCCTCTGTCTTCCCAATCCTGGTTCACACTTCCTGCCCTCTCAGGCCTGAGCTTGTTCCCAGCAGTCCTGGGCTTCTGTGAAAATGTTGCTTCACGAATGCTCCTCCGGCAGCAGGAGGAGGCTGAGATGATCCTGTCTCTTTTACAAATTGTGCTACTAAGATTTAGTGAGGAGACTGTTCAGGGTCACAGAGGGATGGGGTGATGAAACTGGGAAGAGAAGCCAGTTCTCCTGAAGATGTTCTCCTCTAATCTTGACTGGCCGCTTGTTCTTCCTTCTCTGCTGGAAAGGGATTTGGGAGTGTAAGATAGAGAGATAGAGGTAAAGGGAGGGATGGAGATGAATAGCAAGTCATTAACATTGATCTCTTCTGCTTCCTGAAGGAGATAAAAGGATTAATCCATTGGTGAAGGGGGGTATAGAAGAATGGGTAAAGAAAGAGTAGTCTTCTGAGCAGTGGTAAATCAGTGTTGGGCTGGGCTCCCCCAAAGCAGAAAGGATGGCTTTGTTTATAGGGGCACAGTTTATCTGTAAGCCCAAAATGACCAGGTCCTGGAAAGGGCGGGGAGCAGAGAGGCAAGGAAGAAAAGAATGTAAATAGTGCTGGGAATGTCAACTCTCTCCTGGGAGGTTGGGATGTGAAAGGCAGTCATGGATTTCTAAAAAGGGTCTTCCCTTTTTAGCATCTGGACCCCATTAAAATATTCTAAAGGACGCCATGGACACTCAAGGCCCAGGGCTCCTTGGCTCCCAGGCCCTATCAGGACCACCAAGAACCAAGAAGAAATGGCATTATGAAGGGAAGGAGTCCTGGCAAGGGGCAACATGGGCCTCCTCCATTCCTTCATCCCCATCTCAGGAAAGAGAAGCAATTGTAATCTGGCTCATGTGGTGCCAAGGTTAGGGGCTGGAGACAAGAAGAAGCCATTGTTCTTGGAAACCACTTGAAGAGCCACACGACACACATGTGCAGACAAGTACACCTCTCCATGAGTCACATAAACTCAAAGATGCAGACACACAATCAAGAGACACTCAGATACTCAGATGTACACCCACCACACAAAGAGAGTCATCACATTCATACGCATAGTCGTGTGTACCCAGGTTAAGTCCACCCACTCAGAGATGCAAGCTCAGAAGCCCAGAGTTAGTGCTCTGTGTGTTGAGCTGGGAATGAAATGCCAAACCGCATGGCTGCAAAAAGCTGCAACCCCAGTGCAGAAGCGGAACCAGGTCAGAGGCCAGCACGCTTGGCTGCATCTCTCACCACTCATCTCTCAGTAGTGGTGCTAATGGCATAGAACTTCAGGTCCCAAGTCTGTCGTGGGAAAGTCTTTTTAAAGCATGAAAGGCAGAGCAGCTTAAATTAAACCCAGCACCAGCCCTGCTTGCTTGGAGGGATCAAGTCACTGACCAGCCAGCTCCCCACATTCATTTTCATGTGTCCTAGGGAAACTCCCCAAGTGAGTCCTTTTTTTGGAAGAGGATGGCTGAGAAAGAATGCCTGCCCTATTGCATGGATTACTTATCCATCAGTCATCACTTATCTCACACAATCATGTGCGGGGCACCAGGCCAGGTGCTGGGAGATACCAAGAGGCATCAGGCATGATAGCTCCCTT